TACCTTTCTCTATGAAAATGGAGTCGGGGTTTTTCTTTCTTGAGTACTGAAAAGAGGCACACCTGACAGTTATCAAGCTGGATCATAAACTATTGGATCTGGTCACAATGACAATCAATCGGGATAGAGCTGGAAGGGACCTTGGAGGTCTTCTAGTCTAACACCCTGCTCAAGCAGGAGACCCTATGCAATTTGAGACATTTGGCTGTCCATCCTCTTCTTAAAAACCTCCAGTGATAAAGCAGCCACGATGTCTGAAGGCAAGCTGTTCCACTGATTAATTGTTTTCCCTATTAGGAAGTTTCTCCTTAATTCCAATCATTTCACCCCAAATTCTTCTTTTCTCTAGACTAGCCATGCCCAGTTCCTGCAACAGTTCTTCATATGTTTCCATCTCCAGGACTTTAATCGTCCTAGTTGGTTTTCTCTGCACTTTTTTCCAAACTCTCAACATCTAAGTTTCAATATCCTACTCTGAATACTGGATTCATTAACTTTTTAATCAATGACTTTGATGAAAGGAGAGAGGGAATGTATCTTAGAATTTAAGAGGGTCTTTTAATACCATAGAAGACCAAAGGGGCCATTGAGGCTGTTAGGATATGGTTTGAGCCTAACAAATTGTCCAGGCAATATATGTGTTCTGTGACTTTAATATGAATATGTATTGTGTGACTTTAAAGTTTTACTGCTGATTCATTGTAATGCTGAGTCATGCTGTAATTAGATAATCACTAGTGAACATATTTAAGGAAGGTACTGTAAAGTATTCAGTTGATGATAAGCTACCATTGTGTGTGGAGTTGCTACCATTGTGCTATCATCATTGGATGGATCTGCTACCATCATGGTTTGTGAACCAGAGTGAGTTTGTTTGTTATTCTAACCAACTACTGTTTGTGTGGTAAGAAGATTCTTGTATCACTGGACTGATTTAACTGGCAAAGACTTGGATTGATTTAAAGACTATGAGATTGTTTTTTCACTATAAAGTTTTTCACTATAAAGTAAACTTTTGATAAACCAGTTTGCACATCTCTTATTCATTGCTCTCAGCAACGTTTCTCTGTGCTCTACACTCTGCTGGTTGGTAACAGAACAACAATATCCTTAACATTGGTTATGGGCCCAGAGCCAACCAGAACTAACTAGGATTGTTAAGAGCTAAACTGAGAGTTAATGTGAATAGTACAAACTGTGTTTGTGATATACAATCCAAGTGAAGATGGCACTAGAACAAGCAGCAAATTTTTCCATGATAACCCGGCTGGATGGAACAAACTATGTATCCTGGTCTGCAAAATGTAATCTACTTTTGCGTAGAGAAGGACTGTGGGACATAGTTAATAATCCACCGGATGTAACAGCATGGGATCCTGCTGATGAGGAAGATGCGAAGATATTAGCCAAGTTTAACAGAGACAATGAACGAGCTCTTTGCATTATTGGACTAACACTGGGTGACCAGCAGCTTGTCCATATTCATGGCGAAGAGTCTGCTGCTAGGTGTTGGACCAAGTTGAAGAGACTATATGTTTGTGACTCTGTGGGTGCTCATATTTATCTCACATGGACATTATTTAAACAATATCTTCTTAAAGATGGAGATATGATGGCTCATTTGGAATCCATGACCAGAATTTTCCAGGAGCTGCATGAAAAGGAACTTGTTTTCTCAGAACTAAAACAAGTTTATATAATTCTTTCTTCTTTGGACGATAGTTATGACGACTATGTTTCTTCATTAGAGATTTTGTCCAGAGATGAACTGACATTGGCTGGCATAACCGGTAGGTTATTGGAAGAATCCAAAAGAAGACAAGAAAGGGATCAGTTGAGACTGCAACAACCAAAAGAAGAAAAAATGTATTCAACTGCCTATTTTGTAAAACGTTGTTTTGCTTGTGGGGCTAAAGAGCATATAGCTAAGTATTGTAAGAATAAGAAAATGTCTGTTAGGGACAATACTAGACCCAAGAAGGGTTGTAATTTAGCTATATCCAGTTCAACTACTGATGTTAACCAGGATTGTTGGGTTGTTGACAGTGGTGCTTCTCAGTCTATTTCTAGAAAAAGAAAAAAAAATTGTTAAAATGGAGAAGAGTAACCAACATGTTAAACTAGCAAATGGCTGGAAGGTTAAGGTAGCTGGTGAGGGTGTTGCTCGTTGGTCATTTAGTAATGAACCATTGCCTATGTTATATATTCCCGGGTTAAAATTCAATTTATTATCTGTTAAATCATTATTGCAATTTGGGTTTACAGTAACATTTAAAAATGATAAGTGTTTTATTGAGAAAGATGGCAAGGTTGTTACTGCAAGTTTAGAAAATGATTTATTTATTTTAAGGGATAACCCAGTATTGGTGGCTAAGTCTAAGTCTGTTTATAAGAATGTTAAACCACATGATGAATGTATTCATTTGTTACACCAGAGACTTGGGCATTTAAATTTCAGGATGTTAAAGAAAACAGTTCAGTTATCTGAAGGGATAAAACAAGCATGTAGTAAATATCTGAATTGCAATGCCTGTAGTCAGCAAAAAAGTAGGGTAACACCAGCAAACCGTGTTAATGGTTTCAAAACCAAAAATCCATTAGAGGTAGTGTTTGTAGACCTAATTGGACCCAAAAAACCTAGCATAGGAGGTGCCTGCTATATTCTGAGCATAGTAGACCAGTATTCAAGATACGGATTCTGTTATCTTATGAAAACAAAAAGTGAAACATTCCAGCATATTAACAACTGGCTGTGTTTTGTGGAAAGGAAACAGAAATTTAAGGTTAAATGCTTAGTGACTGATAATGGTACAGAATTTACCAACCAAAGGTTGGAAAAGTTTTTGCAGGATGCAGGGATCCAGCATAAACGGTCTGCTCCATTCAGACCACAACACAATTCGTATATCGAGAGAAGAGGTCAAACATTATAAGCCATGACTAGAACTATGTTGGCAGATTCTGGTTTGCCTGAAAATTTATGGGGTGAGGCTGTTATGTGTGCTAACCATGTGTTAAACAACATGGTTCATTCCTCTACAGGTGAAATACCATTCACCTTATGGCATGGGAGGAAACCAAATCTTAGTTACTTACACACATTTGGAGCCCCAGCTTGGGTACATATTCCATCTAGTTTAAGGAGAAAGGATCAACAGAGAGCCAGAAAAATGTTTTTTGTTGGCTATGAATCAAATCATAGGTCTTTTAGATTTTCGGCACAGGGAACTACTAGTGTTTACTGTAGTGCAAGTTCAGAAAAGTTCCTAAAAGCCAAGAAGTTTCCACCCTTACTCAGCCCCTTCTTGGACCTGGATGAATGCTTGGGATTTAGCGCTCTTGTCACAGTCAACGATGTGGCTGCTTTCAAACAGGATCCCTTCAATCTCGTCCAGGGGAGAATCTCAAGGTCCTCTTTCTCTGAATATCACCCAGCCCTTCACAGACAGGACAAACTTGGAATAGGAGTAGGAAAATGCTTTAGGTATAAATTGTAGAGTGGAAAATTAAAGGGCCTGAATATCATTAGATGTTGCTCTTTTATTTCTCTGGATGATGAAAGGAAAAAAAAAATAACACTGGGAATTTCTTAAAGGTAGACACATAAATAACAACAACCCCAAATTGAAATCCTGGAGAACTGTTGTGATCAACACTTTCTGTACAAAGGATTTTACCAGAATATAAAGAAGGAACCATATAATAGTAATGGATATTTGCTTCCCCAACTGAGAACAGGTAAACATTTCAGGTGAATCTGCCATTTCAATGGTTTTCATGGAGATTATCAAACAACCTGTTTGGAGTTTGGTTCCCACAGCATCTATTTTATCTCTTTCCTATTCGTTCTCTCACACATATACACATTTAGCTCTGTCAGTAGGAATAATTACTCAAATGATTTCTTAGATGCCATATTCACTGGCAGTTGCTGAAAAGCAAATTCCTCTGAATGACTATTATGGAGTTCTCTTTAGCAAGATTTATTGGGATGAAAGGGAAGGGAGTTACAAGAATTTCAGTCATTCAACCATTTCCCATTTGGAAATATCTTAGATATGATTTTCTTTGATTCCTGCATACTATCTAAGTGGAAATAAATTATATTTCAAATTAAAGTAAATATTGCAATTATTTAAATGTCATAATAGTCTTATATCTCATGTTTTTATATTTACTCTGGCAGTAAGCTGCTCCTTTGTGTTCAGGTCTGGCCTCAGAAGGATAATATAGCACTTGGGAATGAAGATGCAGACCAGCAGACCAGCACTGGAGGCCAGGATGGAGAAGACCTGCACAGCCACCATGTATTTCCCTTTGGTGCTCAGGTAGGTGGGCACAAAAGTCACCCAGACACTGCAGAAGACCAGCATGCTGAAGGTGATCAGCTTGGCTTCATTGAAGGCCCCAGGCAGATTCCTGGCCAGGAAAGCCACCGTGAAGCAGATGGCAGCCAGGAAGCCCATGTAGCTGAGGGTGACGTAGAACATGACAACAGCCCCTTCGTTGCATTGCAGGATGATCTCTCCAGGCTGGGAGTGGAGGTCAGAGTCAGGGAAGGGGGGAGAAAGTCCTAGCCAGGTGGAGCAGATGACAATTTGGACAGCAGAAAAGAAAAGGATGATGGAGTTGGCCAAGCTCTTCCCCAACCATCTCTTTGCTCGGTTTCCTGGTTTTGTGGCCAGGAATGCCAGCACCACCGTGATGGTTTTGGCCAAGAGAGAAGAAATGGCAACTGAGAAGATGCTGCTGAAAGCTGTTTGTCGGAGAAGACAGGTGGCTTTCTTTGGTTGACCAATGAAGAGAGAAGAAGACAAGAAGCAAAGCAGGAGGGAAACCAGGAGGATGTAGGAGAGGTCCCGATTGTTGGCTTTGACAAGGGGAGTTTCTCGGTATTTAATGAATAATATTAAAATAAGGCCTGTGTTTAGGAAGAAGAGTAGGGTAAAAGAGACCAGGATGATGCCCAGATGTTCTTCATAAGACAGGAAGGTTATAACTTTGGGAGTACATTGGACTCTGGCCTCATTTGGATATTTATCATCTGGACACTTGGTGCATTTTTCGGTATCTGAGAACGCAAGAAAACAATATTTGTTTAAAATACTGGGTTTTTTTTTACATTTCAAGAAATATCTTTTTTGGACAAAGCCTGATTCCAGGAACATTTTCCAAGATGTGTTGCTTAACCATTCCACAGAAAAAAACCCGATAATATAATCTTCTGATACCTTTATAGCTAAGGTATATGAAATTCGTGTATTTCTAGTGCATTTTGAATAAACAAAAATAGAGTTGAGCTTCAGTGTATGTTTTAATTTGCATTTTCTGTCAAAATGCTGTGGATAAATCCATTTCCACAAGACCTTCCATTTTCCTCAGTGTGACCCACCTTCCTGAGTGGAGAAGGTCCCCTCCGGACAAGGAACGCAGTCGTAGCAGCAAACTGGCTCTCCTTCTCGAGCTCTCTTGACAAACCCAGGATGACAACTTTCCACACATTTGGACTGAGGCAGGGACTAAGCAGAAAAACAAGGAATGCCAAAAGTAAATTCTGGGCTTCACAGAGGTAAATATGAAATCTGTGACTCAGTGGTGAAATCTGAACCGATTTGCTAATGGTTTGCTGGCTGCATATGTGCTGCACGTTTAAAAAGTTACCGGTTTGGCCAATCTGGTAATTAGCTACCGGTTCGGTTGAACTGGTAGTTTAAAAAAGCTATGATCCGACGATCACCTGTGCTGTGCGGTTTAGCTTTCCATGCGCAATACGAGCCAAAAGGAGTCTTGGGAAGGTAAGTAGAACAGCGAGGGGGGGGCAGCTGTGGCACGCAGTTTAGCTTTGCTAGAAAGGAGGGAATCCTCCTTTCTAGGAAACCTAAACCGTGCAGCAAAGGTGATCGTCAGATCACAGCTTTTTAAACTACCGGTTCTCCTGAACTGGAGCAAACCAGTAGCATTTCACTCCTGCTGTGACTCCTTCCTAACAGGTGTAGGAGAGGTGATCCTGGCAGGTTCTTTCTTTAGTTCCTCCCTTTTGTTTCTTGCATAACACATTGCAATAAAGGACTTTTCTACTTAATAAAGTCTGGAGGGATGGAATTGAGAAAAGATTTAAGCATTAAGTGACAGACAATCAGTTCCTCCTCATGGCTGTATTAAAATGCATTCCTCCATTCTTCTTCTATCCATGGTTATGATGTTCTACTCATATTAAATTTTAAATACATTTCTTGTCAAATATTTATTAAATTGTTATTTTATAAGATTTATTTAAGTAGAACAAAATGTGATTAAAAAGGAAAGTTCTGACCAGTAGGATCTGGAAAGGTTTCTTCTGGACTACAGAAAGCCTTGCAAAGCTGCTCCCCTTGACATTAGTTCGAAACAGTTTCCCCGTTAAGAGACAAAGGAAAACTCCTCATAAATTATAGCTGATGATGTTACCTAGTTTGGGTAATGAAACACCTGGAAGAAAACAAGCAAGCTCAGAGAGCACCAAGGAGCCCTCATGTCAACCCTGAGCTACAAATATTCTCCTTTATTAAAACTAAAGGTTTCTGTATAGTTTCTAGAACTGTAGTGAGATTGAGGGGAGATCATGAGAAGGTGTCCCTGAAAGAGCCTTGGTAGTACAGAGGTTTAAGGCACCCTGTTATTAAGCTGGTTATTAAGACCAGCTGCCTGCAATTACTGCAGGGTTCAAATCTCGCCAAGGCTCAAGGTTGACTCAGCCTTCCATCCTTTCTAAGGTAGGTAAATTGAGGACCCAGTTGTGGGGGCAATAAGCTGACTTTGTATAAATATACGAAAGGATGAAGGCTATTGCTGAGCACATTGTAAGCCGCCCTGAGTCTTGGGAGAAGGGCAGCATATAAATCAAATTAAAAAAAAAAAAAGGTTAAGTCGCAAATCTTTGGCTGCAACAGATGGGACATGAGTGTGAGTCCTGGGTCAGAAGGAGATATTTCCCATCCAGTTATCCAAAAAAAAAGTCCTTTGTGTTGAAGAACTACAATTAAGAGACTCCAACTGGCATGGAAAGACAGACCCACATTTTATATTAGTTAAATTGGGAGAGTCCTTTTCACCCAGAGGGACTGAAGGTGGCTAACACTCAAGATAAACAAGGCCATTCAAGGGATTTTCAGATGAAGAGCCCTCTTAACAACCAAAGGCCAAATCTAAGTAGCATTTCCACTCACAATCTGTCTCGTTACTTCTGATATCAGGAAGGGCTTTTCTTTGAATCAAAGTTGTGTTTCAGTGTTTCAGGTTTCTGGGTCAAGGGATTTTCTCACTGGCCATTTTATGTGAATTGAAAGGCTTGGACCTCCTTCCAATTGCTCCCCCCAGTTGGGTGAAAGACAGATATGGCTAACTTTGACCAGGTCTGGACTACTTAAAACTATCACAGTCCATGGACCTGCCCTTTCAGGGAACCATTTCCCAATGGCCTTTTCCTAAGCAGGACAAGACAAAGCTTCTCTCCCAATGGGACCACCAGGAGCTCCATCCAGTCATGATCCAATTTCATCTCCTTCAGCCCAAACCTCAATTCAGGGTCTGTTCAACAGAATTCCCTTCTGCTTTGCTGCTTGAGGACAAGGAGCAAGCAAACCTGAGGCTCTTAAACATACAACCTCCAGCGCTTGAGGGTTTGTCATCCCAGGTTGGACATGGCTGAATCAGCCAAAAACAGTCTTCAGTATTACAGCATCTGAAGAACAGCTTGGTCAATAGTACTGAAGCCTCCCAAGTGGTCTATAGAAAGAAAACTATAAGATTTCTACTCCCCATGTTCAATTCTCAGTGAAGGTCATTGACCCTGGAAACTGGGCTTAGTCCACATGAAATGGGTCCTAAATCTTTGGAAAAAAGAGGAAAGACACCAAAATTTCTCCCACCTTGTTGAGCAACTTTAGCCATGGAAGAGCTCCTTGGAGGATAGTAATTCTCTGTCTTTCCAAAGTCCCCATTCGCTGTCTGATGGGATCTTTCTTGGGGACAAACAAGGAGCTCATGAGTGCCAGATCTGCTGTTAGATCTCCATTTTGATCCAAGTACAGTTTCTTCTCGGAAATATTCCAAAACTGATTCTTCTGCAGGAAAGGATGGAACTAGAAGGGGAGCATCCAAGAATTTTAAAATCTGAAAGCTTTTTTAAAAATCCCATTTAGCACATTTAACACATTTGAATCTTTTTTCTATAGTTGACTAAATCAAATCAAATTAAATCAAATCAAATCAAATCAAACATTTATTGTCAATGCTCAACATGTGTACAATGAAATTGAATGAGCTGCCCCCCTCAAAACACAAAATACATCTCAATAACTCAATAGATGAAAGAAATAGAATCCCTAAACCCAAATAAGTAATAACTAACACACATTCCCATATACCTATATGAATAGAATAGAATGCTTTATTGGCCAAGTGAGATTGGACACACAAGGAATTTGTCTTGGTGCAGATGCTCTCAGTGTACATAAAAGAAAAGATACATTCATCACGAATCATAAGGTACAACACTTAATGATAGTCATAGGGTACAAATAAGCAATCAGAAAACAATATCAATATCAATAGTAAGGATACAAGCAACAAAGTTACAGTCATACAGTCATAAGTGGGAGGAGATGGGTGATGGGAACAATGAGAAGATTAATAGTAATTCAATTTTAGTAAATAATTTGACAGTGTTGAGGGAATTATTTGTTTAGCAGAGTGATGGCGTTCGGGAAAAATCTGTCCTTGTGTCTAGTTGTTCTGGTGTGCAGTGCTCTATAGCGTTTTGAGGGTAGGAGTTGAAACAGTTTATGTCCAGGCTGTGATCTGTAGATATCTGTAGATATCTACAGGGTCTGTAGATATTTTCACAGCCCTCTTTTTGACTCGTGGAGTATACAGGTCCTCAATGGAAGGCAGGTTGGTAGTCATTGTTTTTTCTGCAGTTCTAATTATCCTCTGAAGTCAGTGTCTGTCTTGTTGGTTTGTAACATTATATTATATTACACCGCTATGAACATGTTGCACATTGTGCTGGTCCTGCAAGTCTATCATATTAAACCTAATTATGGTGTTATGTTGCGTTCAGAAGTCTGACGGCCCACGGATAAAAGCTATTCTTCAGCCTATTCATTCGGCTGGCGATGCTTCTATAGCTCCTGCCTGATGGTTTGCAAGCTTCGGTGACGGCGGTGTTTTTTTAAAGACCGCCAGCCCCGCCGCCTGTAGAGCCGCCCCGCGAACGAGGAGCGGCTCGAAAACTCCGAAATCTTGAAGATTGTAGGAGCAGAGACAGCAGGGCACAGGTTGAGCCCCTGTAACCCCCCAGGGAATTGTTTCTGGGGGAGAAAACAGGCGCGGCTCCCTCCCAACCTGCGGAGACTCCGGGCAGCGTGGGACGATTCTGCCTTCAGCAGAACAAGCCGGCAGCAGCAAACTTTTAAAGTGAAAGGAATTAACCCTAACAAACAGCGGAAATACCAACTTGAATCCAGAAACTTGAAAATTGCAAGTATTAGTGCTTTGTTGACTTTTTAATTCAAAAGAGAAAGCGAGTGAGTGAAAGTGATTTGAAAAAATATGGCGCCCAGCATTTGAGTTAACGAGCTAGTGAAAGTGGATTTGTGAAGCCTTCCTGCTTTGCTATAAAGCTACAAAGCTGCTACAAAGTTGCTTTATCTAAAGAAAAAAATTTCTTTTTCTAAAAATTTGACTTTGTCTTACTTCAGTTTTATTTGACTAAATCTGGGGGACTTTTTTAGAAGTCTTTGTGCAGGAGGGAAAGGAAAAGGAACTTCCCTCTTCAGAAAAACTAGCCTACGTGGCAGGATGGCTTCAAAGAAGCAGGAAGGGAAGGCAACAGGGGGGGATCCCCCACACACAAACATGAAACGCAGCTTCCCCCTGCTCAACAGTTACAGACTCAGAAAAAAGAATTTGATGTGGGAGATTTAAAAGAATTTATTTCTAAAACTTTGGATGATAAATTTCAAAAATCTCAACAGGAGATAGATGATAAACTTCAAAAATCACATCAGGAGATAGATGATAAACTTCAAAAATCACATCAGGAGTTTATGCAGGAAATTAATGAAGTTAAAGATATGGTGAAACAGAATCAAAACAAGGTGACCAAAAAAATATCAGAAGTGGCATCTGGCCTGGCAGAATTTATTGGGAAAGTTGATTATAAAGTTGAAGAACTTAAATCAGAAGTTAATGTTAAGATGAAAGACAATAATTATAAAATTGCTGATGTTGACAATAAAATGCAAAGAGTTGAAAACGAGATTGTCATGATACAATTCAGGGCAATGGAGTTTGCTATACGGCTTCGAGGAATTCGAGAGGAGGAAAGACAGGATTTGAGACAAGTTTGTTCTGAGGCCCTGGCTAAGATTTTACAAGTTAATCCAGATGTGGTTTTTCACAAAATGGACAAAATTTACAGAGTGAACTCTTGGGTGGCCAGACAAAGACAATTACCTAGAGATGTGGTCATATACTTTACAGATAGAGAAATAAGAAACGATATCCTGCAAAAATCCTTTTACACTTCTGTACAAGTGGGGGGCTCACGAATTGGAATTTATAAAGAATTGCCTCCTAAAATGCTGAAAGCTAGAAAAGAATTTGGTTTTCTTGTTAAGGAATTGCAAAATTTACAGATACCTTTCCGGTGGGACGCACCAGTTGGCATAATTTTCAGATACAAGGGAGAAAGATACCGTTTGAATACCGTGGAGAAGGCACAGCACTTCTACACTACTATTCTTAAGGAAAGAACACCATCTCCACGTACATCTACAGTTTTGGAGATTAAAGAGAGTGAAGAGAAGCAACCTCAACGAGAACTGCAGGAACAGTCTAAGCAGGAATTAGAAGAAGTGCAAGGTGCAGAAGGAGGTTTTCTGGATGAGCCTTTGCTGGAATCTTCTCCAATCTTGGACCCGGTTCGGATGATTGAAGTTAAGGATCAACGTATAACTCGAGCTCAAGCTAAGTTACTTAAACAAAAGCAACAACAACAACAGGAAAGACAAGACAAGGAGGCAGATAAGAGTACTGTACAAGAGACTGGAGCTATGGGAGGAGCGAGATCGAAGCTTTCGGATGATCTTCAATTATTTTGCTCTTTGCTCCAGAAAGAGGCTGATGATGTTTAAGTGTTTATCCTGGAATGTTAATGGGTTGAATTCAGCACAGAAAAGGAAGAAATTATTTACATATTTGAAACAATTTAATAATGATATAATTTGTTTACAAGAAACGCATATCACAACTCAAGATCAAAAATATTTGATAAACTCCAAACTAGGAACACATTTTATATCTTCAACTTCGCAAAAAAAGAATGGTGTGGTAATTTATGTAAATAAAAAGTTAACAGCTAAAGTTATAGAAACAGATGAAGATGGTAGGTTTGTAGCAATTGAATTGTCTACAGCAAATGGCCAAATTCTTCTGATTGGGATTTATGCTCCCAATCAACAACAGGACTATTTCTATAAGATGTTACATACTAAAATATTGCAATGGGATTACAGATCTATTTTAATTATGGGAGACTGGAATGGAGTAATCGACTCTAAATTAGATAAAAAGAGTTTGGCAAAGTCTAGAATCAGATTACCACAGACCTTGTTTGACATGAAAGAAGATATGGAACTAAAAGATGTTTGGAGAATACATAATCCAAAAGAATTGGACTATACTTTTTTTTCTGACAGACACAGATCCTTCTCTAGGATTGACTTTATTTTGTTGACAGATGATTTACTTGTTAAGACAAAAAGAACAAAGATTTTTCCAAGAACTTTGACTGACCATAGCCCAGTATGGATAGAAATTGAGATGGATAAGGTTGAGAGACGTTCTTGGAGATTAAATGAGAATTTGTTTAGATATGAAAAAAATACAACAGAACTTAAAAAGCATTTGAAAGAATTTTTTGAAATAAATTTGAATAAAGGTACCCCAATTGAAATTGTGTGGGATGCAAGTAAAGCTTATATGAGAGGGGTACTTATCTACATGAACTCTAAACATAGACTGTTCCGACAAAAGAAAAGATCTGAACTGGAAATAGAAATAAAGAATAAAGAACAGTTACTTATTAAAAATCCAACAGATGAAAGAATACGTAGTGCTATAAAACTTTTGAAAGACCAATTTCAAATGCTTATGGCGGAACAAGTTGCAACAAATTTACAATATGCGAAGCATAACACATTTTGTAACGCTAATAAACTGGGCAGATGGTTGGCTTACACATTGAGGAAAAAACAAAGTATACGGACTATTGATAGTATTGATATTGGAGGGAAAGAAATCTTTCAACAAAAATTAATTAAAGAAGCTTTTGTGGACTATTATACTAAATTATATGCTAAAGAGGAGGTGCAGAATGGATTTATAGAAAAATATTTAAACGATAAAAGAGTTACAAAAATTACTGATCAACAAAAGGAAAGAATGAATTATCCTATAACAGAGGAGGAGATAATAGTAGCAATTAAACAGTTAAAAACAGCCAAAGCTCCTGGCACGGATGGCTTCACTGCAGTGTATTACAAAACTTTGCAAGCTGAAATGGTGGAACAACTTAGAGATTTATTTTGCAATATTCAGCAAGGGGGTAAAATACCCCCATCATGGACAACAGCTTACATATCTTTGATACCAAAAGAACAAATCGGTCCTAAAAAACCAGAGAACTATAGACCAATATCTCTTTTGAATACAGATTATAAAATTTTTGCGAAAGTACTAGCCAACAGGTTGATGCCAGTAATTCAAAAGGTGATTCATGATGATCAAGCGGGATTTATCGAGGGCAGATATATAAAGGACAGATCCCTGCAGTGCTGGTCTTTTTGGATGCAGAGAAGGCCTTTGATAGAGTGGATTGGAATTTTCTATTAAAGACTTTGAAAAAGATGGACTTTGGGGATCAATTTATACAGGCGATTTCGGCAATTTACCAAGAGCAAAAGGCACAGATCATTATTAATGGAAGTCTGACAACAGAGTTTAAAATTGAAAAAGGAACAAGACAGGGATGTCCGTTGTCCCCACTTTTATTTATTTTAACACTAGAAGTCTTGCT